AACCCCCGCCGGGAGGGAATCCCTGCTCACAGAAAAGGGCTTCGAGCCCTGTCTCGCGCACGCCCCTGGCGGGCGCCGCGGACCAGTTCCGCGAGCGCTCGTCAGCGGGTGGTGTGCGGTTCTTGCCGTAGTTCCTCTTCGGTCGCCTAGCCCCGGCGCCGTCTGGCGGACGCCTGCGTGTCACGAGTGCGAGCCGCTCGCGGTTCGTACGCCCGCTTGCGGGTTCGAGTGGCGGGCTATCCCGCTTGCGGGATGGCTTAGCGGGTTCGAGCCGTCACACATTGGCTGCCGGGGTGTGCCGAGGGGGGGCTGGGTGGGCGGTAAGCCGTCATTGCCCGGCGCTGCTTGCAGCGCTCTGGGTGGTAGTGGCGGCGCTCCAAGAGTGGTGCTCTTGGGAAGAGGTTCCTCCTTTCCGCTCCCCCCCCGCAAGGCGCGAGACACAACCTTCCTGGCCCTAAAATTCGGGTCGGAGCGTAGCGGAGTGGGCCCCGAATTTAAAATGGCGACGGACGCTTGCGTCCTAGCCGAAAAAACGCCTCCCGGCGCAGAGGGGCCCCCGGAGGGAAACACCGCCGCTTGCGGCGGTCCTCATGCGAGTGCTGTAAGTCGAGGGCCAGCTGTTATTGGGGGTTGAGGGTATCGAATTGATTGATTGGAATGTCGCAAAAATCCGTGTTCGCTCCAAACTGCCACCCGCCACCATCGCCGCCTCCGGTGAAGTCGAGCTGCGTCGCGCATGCGCGCCGGTCTGGGATACAGCCGCCACGGGTCGCGCTGTGCCTGTTTGGCACAATGCGAAGTCTCGCATTGCCGGCTGTCTACGAGAGCGTTCGGCGCAACCTTATTGAAGCTGCGGGCGTGTCCGACACTTTCGTCAAACTGAGGTTGACTGAGGTGGCCAAGAGGGGAATCAGAGTGGACCGCCCAACGCCGCCAGCGGATGCCTGGCGTCAGGCGTCGGCAGCGCTTGCGCATCTGGGCGCTACCGTTGCGACGATCGATGCAGACGATCCACTCCGCGCTCTCGATACCTTGTGCTGGTGCGAAAAAGACGCCGCATACCACGCAGGGCTGCTGAACCGTTGGGAGGCCCAGCGCTGGTGCTACGCGCAAGTGACGAACCGGGAGGAGACTGTGGGCTGCAGCTATGATGCGGTAATTGCTGCGCGCGCGGATCTCTTCTGGGGATCTGCGATACCCCCCGTTGACGCTCTCCGTGCGCTGTGCATCGGCCATCGCTCGGGCATGTGCGCCGAGGGACCGCGCGTCTACCTTGACCGCGACCACGTCTTCGTCATCCCGAGGCCGCTGCTGGAGGCTACGCTCACGCATATGCTATCCGCGGCTGAAGCTTTTTGTGCCGGTCGGCATAACGGAACCAACACCACCAGGTGCGTTATCGGAGGAGGGGGCTCCGAAGGTATGACCAGACTATTTCTGGCCTCGAAGAAGGTGCGTTGCGTTGTGAGCAGTTTCCAAAATGTCTCGATCGCGCGCACGGCTGATACATGGACACTCTTACCGCGTGGGGCAGCAGCAGATAGGGGGCATCTTCATCGCGTGCTGGTGGCGTGCGGGAGCTCCCGGCTCCCGGGCTACTGGTCGTGGATCAACCAGCAACCCTGCACGGCGAACGCCACCCCGTATTAGATTGGCAGCATGCTGACTGTGACTAACGGCCTATTTTCCGGACTCGCAGACTCGCTCTAGGTGAAAATAAATAATAAATAAAACGGACACCTCTACTAGGAGATGGGTAAAAAGGAACAGGTCCCCGCCCTGCGGTCTTTGTGCAGGGTTCTTTGTGGGTGTGGTCGGCGACTAGCCGGGGTCGTCCTCCCGATGGGGGACTAGCCGACTAGCCGTCTTCCACATGGTCCCTCGGGTCCCTGCTGCTCCTAATCTCGTCGTACATCCTCCTGCTGATCTCCGCAACATCCTGCTCCCTCCCTCGTCTCGCCCTGCGCGTCTGCTCCGCCTCACCGTCGTCTGCTCTGCGTCGTCTGGTGACGGGTCCTCCATAGTCGGTTGAGGTCGCCGCCCTCCTCGTGCCTCTTCCCAACGTTCCCTCGGCGAAACGTCTCTTGGGTTGTCTGTTTTCTTTCTTTCTTTTGCGGACGCTGACTCTGGATCCGAAAAGGTGCAACACTGGAGTAAAAAATGTGCCTGACAGTGTTATCTCCTTAACCGCTGAGGTGAAAACTAATATCTCAACGGATTTGGACTCGGGCTGTCAGCCCCATGCCGGAGGTGTTAAGCCCATAGTTTTCACCTCATCGAGTCGGCGGGTTTTGAACCGCCGCCGCCGCCGCCGCCGCCGCCGCCGCCGCCGCCGCCGCCGCCGCCGCCGCCGCCGCCACCGCGCCCGCCGCCAAGCACAAGTCCATTGCCTTGCCATATCCATATGTCCATATGTCCAAGACAGGTTCCTCATTTTTAGGGCGCGCTTAGCTGCACGCGCGAGAACGCGAACTCAATTTTCTTAGTTGTACCACAGTACATAACCGCGTGTGAGCTAGATCGACTTCTTCGACACGAGCAACCGGCTTAGGCTACGGAGCCGACGAGACGCCGCCGAGGCAGTCGAGTCAACACCAAAGCCAAGGCATCGCGCCGAGCCGATGGCCCCCATGAACTGCAGAAGCCGTTGCAGGTGAATGTTCTACAACATCTACCAAGGAGGAGGAGGCCTAGGCCAACTCCGACCCGCCGGGATAAATCGCCGACACCAGGGCCAGCCGCGGCCCAACTAGTGGAGCGAGGAAAGCTAGGTGGCGTTTTCGCGCAAATAACCGCGACACGCCCACGACTTCAAGGAGCCGTGTGGCGTTTCCGGTCACCAACAAGGAGGAGTTTGGGAATTCCGAATCTCAAACTGCATCTCCGTCGTTGGCGCAAACTCAACTCGCTCTCAGTCCGAAAGAGGTCCAAGGCCCTCTCCGACTTCGAGCGACTTCCCCCAGCGGGTGATCTTCTCCTCTTCATTTTCAAGACCAACGCGCCCAACATGTCTTCCATGAGGCTTGTCGACACCAACGGGAACAACGTCTCCGACGATTCGAGCCCTACTCCCTGGCTGGTCATCATCCCCGCCGCCGCAAGAGGGGGTGAGCTGATGATGGCCCAGCCGGACATCTGCACGGAGAACTCGGACGGCACGATCAGCGTCAGCTACCGCGATTTCTTGAGCGACATCGTCGGTGCCTACCTGCTCGTGCCCGAGAACGAGGACGACAAATTCTTCCAGTACCTCCCCGCTCTGGCAACTCTCGCAGGGGCCTGGAGCGAGTTGCGCAAGGGGATCGAGACCTGGACAAGCACCACGCCGGGGGCGTTTGCGAAGCGCCTCGACGGCGCGTTCGCCAAGGCCGACAAGAGCAAGTTCGAAAGGACTCGCGACTTCATCGAGACCGGCGGGACAGACAAACCGCCCGGCTTGACGCGGGGGAGTGAGTGGCCCGACGGCCTGCGATGGGTGCCGGCGCTCACAGCGAGCACGGCTTTCGGCAAGATCGGCCTGGACGAAGGAGCGGAGCGGCCATCCCGCGCTGCCGCCGACCTCTATCGGTACGTGGGCCCGCTCGTCAACCCCGAGGTTGAGCTCGTCAAGGGCAAGCCGGCGCAGAGGGCGGCCACCCTCCTCACGTCCCTCTTCCAGAGCGACAAGGACGCGGGCATCTGCGACGGCACGTTCCTGGCACACGATCGTGCAGGGCCTACTGGCGCACTGCTGGTCCCCGGCCTTCACCATCAAGCCCAAGACGGACATGGAGGCGCTCAGCGACCTGCGCGAGCGGGTTGAGTTCGGCAAGGCACTGCTGGAAGAAGCAGCCAGCCCGATGGCGCTCAAGGCAGTCACGGCGCGACTGCCGGGCGTGTTGCGACAGGAGACGGAGCTCTGCACACGACGGCGGTCATACCCGTCATCATGGGCAGCGGCCTGGTGCTCGTCCCCGCCAGCGGGAAAGGCACCTTCTGCACCGACACCAAACTCAGCAGCAAGCAGCGAGACGCGGCGTGCGAGCACGCGGCAGAAGCGGCGAGGCAGCTCACGGACGGGGCGGACGTGGCGGACAGCTTCCTCGCCGGCAGGCTAGCAGATGGCAGTGCGCTCGTCGTCACACCGGCTGCCCCAAGATCCATCGAGGGGCGACTGGCAGCCACGGCGGAGCAGCGGCAGCTGATGGAAAGCCGCTCCAGATCCGCATCTCCGCTGAGCGAGTGAGTGACACGCGCCGCATCTCCGCATCGCAAGTCCACGGCAAAAGCGGCAACGGCCTCAGCCACTGTTTGCCTAGCCAGGCACGAGTACACTCAGGGACCCGGTAGTTCACACTCCTATAGTGCCAGTGCGCGCCAGTCCCGTGCCCAGGTCGTGCGAGGGAGTTTTGCTGTAAAATTCTGCGGGTTTGTGAACAGTCCGAACGTTCTACGACGTCCGCATCGCGCGCGCGTCCCTTCGCGTCCGTGAGAGATATGGCTACATCGGGTCCAACCTACCGGCTTGCGCCTCGCGGCACATTGAACGCATGAATGCCGAGCGCAGCAACCCGAAGCAGCCGGTGGTGTACGCGGCACGCACAGCTCGACCCTGCTGTGACGGTGTGAGTGTGAGAGCCCCTGTGTGAAGAGTGCGTAAGGGGTTGAGAAAAAACAATAAGTTTCGCTGCCCGGCCGTTGCGGCGGTACGTCTTCTTCTTCGGTCCCCGCGGGAAGCCCCGCGCATAGGACAACAACGTCTAGTGGCAGGGCCTCAACTACAAGCACTTCCATACAAACTCCTCGCAATGGGTCTGCTGGCGCCGTGCTGCGCGGCGGGCAGGGAGGATATGGAGCGGCTCTACTATCGGCGGATGGAGGCCAGGGGGGTGGTAAAGGTGCATCTGCCCAAGCCGCATCGAGCATCGCGTCACGCGTGCGGCACGCCGCGTGGGCACAGAAGGTACGTGTAATGTGGGCACCACCGAGCACCGTTCCGCCTGTGAAGTGGGGCAAACAGGCTATGTTGGCGACGTCGTCCAATTCGTTAAATTCTTCCAGGAAACCCCGGGCGCTCCCGTCTCGGCCTCGGGATCGAGTTCCGTGATGTTGGTAAGTAGGCCGGCGCTCTTCCACACGCGGTCGAGGTTGCGGCCGCGCCGGTCGGCGAAGCTGACCATGGGCGCTCCGGAGATGGCCGCGGCGAGCGACGAGAATTGCGACGCGGAGCCCGCCTTCACCACGAGCTTGCTCTTTGCGAGAGCACACAGGTCGGAGGCGGCGCTGGCCTGCCCGTCGTGCACTACGTCGATGTGAGCGTTGCGCATGCGCTCCGCGAGCTTGGCGGCAAAGCTCGGCTCATCCGCCGCCAGGTAGACCTTTCGCTCGCCGTGTGCGAGCAGCCACGCGATGGCGGCGGTGTACACCTTGGCAAGCTTCTTCTCGCTCGTCCAGCCAAGTTTGATCTTGTCGCCACGGCGCGCGTGCACGCCGACGCGGTCGGCAATATCGGCCGGCGGAAAGCACGGCGTGAGGCCCACGCTACGCGCCACGTGCACGAACCGTGCACGCTGCTCGGAGTCGGACGCTACGCGGCCGCTCTCTTGGAGAACGTCGCTCACCCACCCCACGCCATGTTGCCCGCAGAAGTGCCTGCCGTCGATGTGCAGGGCCTGCGCTGTGGGTCCGCCCTTCAACGGCATCGGGTCGCGCTGCTTCCGCACGAGGAACTCTGGCGAGCTCAGCACGCGGTCCCAATCGTACGTGCGGCTCGCGTCTCGGTCGGCGACGTGCACAGTCGGCACGACACAGCCGTGCGCCAGCTGTGCCGCGACCACGCCCGCAATGACATCGAAGATGCGATCGGCGAGGCCGGTGTAGCAGTGCACCACAACGGTACAGCGCCCTAGGGTCGCTCCCTTGCCGCTGTCGCCCTCGGGCGATGCCGCAGAAGATGGGAACGCCTCCTCGGTTGGCGTCTCTGGCGACAGCAGCGGCACCTCACCAGCTAACGTTTCGGAGGCTGTGGCTGGTGCGCCCAAGAATGTCAGCCAGCGCAAGTGAGCCGCTTGATACGCAGCGAGAGCTCTCGCCTCGACAGGATCGTCCGTACGAAGGCCTATGGGCTTTCTATTACCGGACCAGTGCACCACGTGGGCCTCTTTGAGGCCCAATTTCCGCATACACTTGCTCACGCCTTGGTCGGCCTTGAGGTTCCACGCGAGCGACCCTTTGGTCCAGGTATTGTTGGCCCCGTAAATGGTCACCCAAGTTTGAAATCCGATGCCACAGGGGAACTTGCCAGCCGCGAGCCAAGGATACAATCCGGCGGCGTAGTCGCGTGAGGGCGTGATGCCCCAGACGCCAGTGTTGTAATGCATCTGGTCGGGGACGCGGCTGCACCCAACAGGCGTGCGCAGCTCCATCGTTCCTCGGCGGGCCCATGCCTCCACCAAGCGGTCTGGGGACGTGCGTACTGCGAGGTCGCCATCAAGGTAGAGGATCTTGTCGTACTGAGTCTGCTCATAGACTCGAAGGATGCGGAACGAGAAGCTGAAGCGGAATCTTGACTTTTTGGCCGAGGACTGGCACTTGCCTTCGACGTTTGAGACAAATACGACCTTGGTGTCGAGAGTCCTGAGCGCGTCGCCGAGCATCGGAATGCTGTTGGGCGATTGCATGCTGAGCACGTCCTTATTCGTGCCGGTTTGGCGCAGGAGAGAAATGGCGGCGAGGTGTTGTGCGGCCATCGCGACGGTGGGCGTGCCGACGAGCGCCAGGCAGTAGGCGATGCGCAGGTTTGAGGGCGTCGAAGGGACGAATGCAGCGGTGATCAAGGGCTGGTCGTTCGCATTGGGCTTCGGACTACTGGCATCCACTCCGCAGTGACCCGTTGTGAGGACCGCGAGGAACGTCTTCAGGGGGCTGCGAGCGACGACGCAAGCGACCTCCATAATCACGGCGATGGAGCGGGAGAAAGCTGGAGGTCCCGCGCCGCTTACCGCTAGCAGCCAGGCGGTGCCGCAGACAATGGTAAGAATAGTAAGGAAGGTGTTGGACTCGTCCTTTGGCCCGTGGACGACAACGTGCACCGCTGGGCTCCGCGGGCAGTCCGGCGTGGGCTCGGGAGTCGAAAACGGTGCAACGAGATCGCCCGTGGACAGGCCGCAAGCACCAAGCAGGGCTACGCCGTTGAAGAAGAGGATGGCGGCAAAGGCGACGCAGACGGAGGCGGAGCGGGAACAGCGTCGAACGGAGTGGCTCACGCCCACAACCACCACCCCCAACCAGATTGAGGAGAGGCCCGCCGCCGCCGTCGCCGCGCCGGTGAGGCACGCCGTGGCGGCGGCGAGGCAGACGGTGGCGGACGAGGCCGCGCCGCGAGCCCCCTTTCCGCTCGCCGCTGTGGGCCAGGAGGCGCGCAGGCGATGCCGAGGAGGATGAGCACGAGGGCGGGCATGAGAAGCGGCGAGCAGCTCACGAGCGAGGACCTTCGAGGCGACGGCGGGCGTGTAAGAGACGCCTTGCCCAAAAAAATGCCCTTTTTCGGTGCTCCCCAAATGGAGAGCCAGCATAACCGAAAGAAAGAGAGGGGAGCTCGCGGGAGAGGTGACGAGTGAACTACAGGTAGTGGGGAAGGCAGCCTCGATTGCCATACTCGAGTACAGACATGGGTGCGAAACAACGACAAGACCAAGGCACGGGCAGAGGAACGAGAGAAGAATATAGAATGGATAAAGCGCCTGTTCACGGCATGGAGGGTAAGCCACGCCGAACGCAAGGAAGCCGGGGAAGACGACCCCGAGGAGGACGAAACACCAGTGGAAATCCCGCCGTCAGCTGTCACGATATACCCGAAGGGAACCCCAGTGCCAACACCGACAGTTGAGGTACAAGTGCTCGAAACGAGAGTGGACCTGAGCAACGACATGACAGGGCGGGATATGCTCGCAGTGGGAGTCAGAAATGTGGTCCTTGCGCGAGGAGTACTCGATAATCTCGAGGGACCAAAATACGCGGAGAGGAGAGCGGAGTTACGCAGAAAGGCGAGAGAAGCAGCGAGAGCAAGAGATCGGCAGACGACAGCGGCGTCTCAGAACGAGGCCGAGGAGAGCGATGAGTCAGGGGAAGAGACAGCAGGAGAGAGAACGACGAGAGTGGGAAGAACGCGAGGTGGCATGAAGGTCGCTGCGAGAATTGGTGAGAACCTGCGGAGAGAGATAGGAAGTGGTAGACGCCCGAGGGTGAGCGACGGCTAACACCACACTTCTCCCCTAAAATCCCTGTGTGGTGGCGGCGTACCGTCCTCCCATCCCTCCCTTGGGTTGTCTGTTTTCTTTCTTTCTTTTTGGAGAGCCAGCAGCTATGAACAGGAGCTCGCGTCTCCCTCTTGCGGAGAA